ATTTTCTTTCACCCAGTGTCAGTTAAGACGCTGTTTCTAGCAAGCCGGCCGGTAACGTCATGTTCTCAAAATGTTCGCATTTTTTTTTTCACCGTAGCTAGCGTCACATTATTACAAAGCTACTGCTTTGTGCGATCGCAGTTCATTTATTCAGACCTAAAAACCGGGATTCATTTCCGTGCCGGCCCATTATTATTTTTGCTGGACTTGTCTAATCATCGGTATCAAGGAACGCCCGCCGATACTGTTTATTATTAGCTGCCCGTGTGCGTACCATTGTTATCAATGCCGTTTCTCTTCTACATACAAATCCTGGACGCTGTCTGGTTTTTCACGGGCTGCCAATAAATATAGTTCCCAGCCCGTCATATCTCAGATGCGGTACGTCGTAGCTGTTTTCCATTTAATAAGTCTGGCTTGATTTTTATATTAAAGCAAAGCACGCTGGTGATGCAAGAAAAAAAAAAAAAAAAGAAGCCGATTTGGGAGAGCTTTACTTTCTCTTATGTAGACACACACGGAGACTCCATTACGCTCCACTGTAGTGGCGCAACTAAAAAGAAGAAAAAAGACAAGACGTAAACAAACACGTATCGAACTAACGTTACAAAAATACTAGAGGTACGTCAAAAAAGAATTAGAAACGACCTTTTAAAAAATCAGGATACAGCAAGTCAACGGCAAAGTACAACTAAAAAAAAAAAAAGGAAGAAGAAAAACTATATTTGAAGATGCAGTTAAAGATAATATTCCCGTTTTTTCAAGCTCATTTCGGAGCACCTCAAAAAGCCTATTTCTTTCTTATTGTTTTATATGTTTTCGTTATAGTTTTTGTTTTATATCACCCTTTTACCGCACGGTCGTGTCTTTCTTTTTTCTTATTTTATTTTTTTGCTTAAGGCGGAGCGCGTTTAATCTAAATCGATCGTAGTGGCGCGCGTGTACTTGTTATTCTCGTTTGGATGTCATTACTTTTCCCTTTTCCCCTCGGCCGCCATTTTTATTACCCTCCCCTAGACTACCTCTTTTCGGACGGCGGCGTCGGCGATTTTCCGCATTTCCTTCGGCAATCGTTGCCGCAGCTTTACTGTCAGCAAATCAAAGCAGTGATCAATTTTCTCGGGTCGATTGGAAACCCGGTACAGGGCTGCGAGCACACAACCTGCACTAGCGTCGGGTCTCCCGTGTGGCCACGATGCCTCGTGGCTCTTGATCGTTGTTGGTGGAGTTTGTTTCCGACGCCGGTGGTCGGCATTTTATACTCTCGTTGCTGGCCGTTGCAGGGTTTTGCTCCGCCGCTAGTGACATCAAGCGTCTACCGTGGTTGGTGTGGCGCCGTTCGAGACGGAATGGTCTCATTCTTCAGCGTCTCCGACTGATGCGTTTCTCCCGTCCAAATAAGTGGCCCCTCAATTTCCGCCTCGTGACGTCATCGAAGTGCCACGCTGTCGCCGACCGCGATCCTGGCGGCGTGCCAACAGCGGAGGTGGACGTAGCAGATGCCTGTTCTGCTGCAGGTCGCTCTCCGGTTTGACAGACCACGAAAGCTCCGGCAGCCGGGGTTGGGACGCCATGAAGACAGCGACACCCGTGCTTCTTGTCGGAACTTCTACGACCAACTACCAGGATCGCAACGTCCGGCAACATATCACTCGGGTTTTTCGGACGTCGAATGTGGCCATTTGGGGGCCACTTTCGATCCATGGGCGGAAAAAGACGCTAAACACACGGTCGGCGCTTAGGTAAAAGGACCTCGGTGATTCACGCGCTGACCTTTGGTTGGCGCTCCAGATTTTCGTACGCCAGAGTTTCGTACGTGTAAATTACTGAGGTGTGTGTACTTCAAGGGACAGTGAAGACGATTTGGAAGTTCACTTTAAGCATTGAAAATGATGTCATGTGTATTTCAGGTGATGTTGACGAAGTTTTAGCCCTAAGTTGGGCTTGAGCGTCGCACAAAAAATAATTTAACATATCCACGAATAATCACGCCGCAACCGATGACCGCGACACTCGAGAGTGCGAAAAAAGTCAGCTTTTTTCAGGTCAGGTGAAAAGTCAGGTGATTTGTCGAAGTGAACGGAGTTCGCTAGTCTTTGTCTTCGAGCGTGAGTTGTTAAAATCTTACTTCTTTTTTTAATTCGAGATCAATTCAAGAACGACAGAAACTATATATTTTGTTCAGAAAGGTTTACTACGATAGAAATGAAATAATATCTCAATCTGCCTACGCATGAGCTCAAATAGTCGATCGTCTTTCAATAGCAAATATTGGGCGTGGATTGACTTGTGGTTTCGTAAATATCGTAAATATTGTGCGTTGGATTGAGTGTGTCAAGAACACACAATTTGTGTTTTCTCAAGGGAGAAAACAAAAACGGCGCAGCATCGTGTTTTCTTTGTTTTCTCTCGCGATTTTTGCTTCAGTGCATGCAAGAAGCTGCATTAACTGTTCCGGGCTGACGCGCTGCACTTTCCGCTACTCCTCCGGGTCCATGTACAAAAGCTTCTGTCAGACAACGCCTAGCTCGTCGCGATCTTTCTTGCACATTCATCCAGCCTTTCATCGAACGAGTCCTTTCGGCGCCCGTGGTGTACTGAAGAGTTGTGAGCCAGAGTGCGGGAACAAGGACATCGGCAAACGCCCGGCGCGAGCACAAAACTCCGTCGCTTTTACACCGAGCCTCCATACTTGCGTCATGTCTCGGGTTACTAAATATAACGGCGTCCGGGTTAGGCATAATGTAGTGTTCTTTCTGAGTAGACCTATTTTGCTAAATTACTCAAGCATCAAGAAGAACGCAAGGATTGGTCTTCCACGCGCCGGACGTGCTGGCTTCAGCAGTAGTAACGTTTCTAACGCAAATGCCCAAAAAACAAATTGCATCTTGCAGGCGCTCTCGTCAACGCTTTATTTTGGTTAATTGGAATCTTTTATACGGGAAGGCGCACTCGTGTGGCGCGTGGAACATCATTCCCTGCATTTTCCTTGATGCTTGGGTATTATAGCAGTAGGTCTAGTGGCACGTAACAGCGACACGCAACTATTATTTTTCTTCGTAATGCGATAACGCCGCTCGCAACCCGATCGGCAAAAAGACACGATGTTAAGAGAAAAAGGTCCGTACACTCAGTTGCGTTTGAATGCGTTTGACTACGTTGCACCGACAAATGGCCGCCGGCCAGTGAGCGGGTCGTCCGTGCTTTGTGTGATGCGTGGCAGCAATTCAAGGAGAAACTTGGCAAACGGCGTACGACGCCTTAATGTCCTAGTTACTAGCAGATGGAACCCGCTATAATGATTTCAAACCTCAAAACGCGGTTACAACTCACTGCGCCAGGCGCGCTCGTGACCACTAAGTTTGACTGAAATCGACGGCTCATTGTTGACGTCACGCCCTTTCCGGAAGAAGTCGTGTTGCGGGAAAGCAGAACATCAATTTCGGTTTGGACGATATATTTTACACAAAAAAGTAAGATTTGAAGAATTGCATAAAACGACTGAGCATATTGCTAGATCCCTGCGGAGTCGGAAAACACCAATAGTCGTCTTCGCAGTCCCTTTAAAGCCGCAGTCAAACTACTCATACATCATACGAAAGACTTTCGTTGCAGACATGATGACATCTGCGCACACGCCTCAAGCATGATCAAGGCTCATACTATGCTTCGAACTTGTTTGCAGGCAGTTTATCTAACACCAATGTGACCGTCATACAATGAAGAAACTCAGACAGTGAGTGCAAACAGTCTTTTGTATGGTGAAGCAGTATTGTGACCACGGCTCATGCCGTGAAACTCGTAAACCAGGGAATCGGACACCCCCCCCCCCCTTCAAAAAAAAAAAAAAAAGAAAGAACGCTTTATTCAAATTGCTTTACTCTACAAGCGTTTTCCGATTCTCGTCCGGGAAGGCGCAAGAGGGGTACCGGAAATGCGAAAGGAGAGTGAACGAAACGTTCAAGTAGTCTAATCGGGTAATCTACTCAGGTATTTTTTTACGGAAAGGAAATTACAATTGTAAAGGAATACTATTAGTTCGCGCGCTTACCCACTCAGGATCTTCAAACGGTCTACACTGATCTTCCCCGAACAGCGAGAACTCTACGGGGTTCCCAGGCTCCAAATGACGTCACACGAGCCGGCGTGAAATGTTGCCGGGTGTCGCGACCCTGGCGGTTGTTCGTACAAGTTCCGGCAAGAAGTACGGGCGAATGTGAACATCGTCGTCGTCGCGGCGTCCCAGCTCCCCTGCTGCTCAAATTTCCGCGGGTTTCCGCGGACTATCGAGCTAGAAAACGCCGTGCAGCAAAAGAGGCGCCTGTCGTATCCACCTCCGGTGCTGCACCATCTCTACGACCACGTCAAGTGACAGTATGACAATCCTACGACGTCATCGGGCGGAAACCGAGGGTCCAGATCTGAGAACAGGGTAAACACACCACACCCTATAAAAAGCCCGTGCGTCTACTTTCCCGCGCAACACTCGGAAAGCCAGTCAGCGAGCTCGGTGAGTGTCGCCACCGAAACATATCTTTAGACCAAAAAACGCAGTCTGAGTTGTGACATTAAGCAATACAAAAACGTCACGCTTGCATTGCTTAATGTCACAACTCAGAGTGCGTTTTTTTGGTCTAAACATATGTTTCGACACCGTAAATCGCTGAGTTGCCTCCGGAAGTTGCGGTGATTGGCACTCCGAGTGTTGTGCGGGAAAGTAGACGCACGAGCTTTTTTTAGAGTGCAGTCGGAGACGCGTTCCATGTATCAGAGTACCACTGCGGAGATTTTGAGCCATCTCGCGATCCAAGGCTCTAAGACTAACACTCTCGGTACCAACGCCAACCCGTTGAGGTGGCGCTGCGGTCGGCTCGGCGCCTGGGAGTCGCATCATGTCACGCAAGTCTGGTTTCTGTGCCCGCGCGTCGCCGGTTGCGGGCTTGCGCGGCTTGCTTAGGAAACAGCGCGTTGGCGTACACAGCCTCGAAAAGTGTGCTCACCACTGGCTGTCCCTGCCTGGCTTCCCGGTAGAAAGGGTCCACGATCTGCCAGGTGGTCAGGATGATGACGTCCAGCATGAGGAACACTCCGACCACCATGAACAGCTTGTAGTCTTTGATGACCTGAGAGCAATGGGGGTGGGTGGAAGGAACGGCCCACCATATCTAGATCCGTTATTCTGGTCGTCGAAGCTTTAATTCTCGTGCTGTGTACACCCGATGTCACTATTGACCAACACCAGAAAGCATCCAACCTCTACTATACCATAGGAACACTCGTGGATTATGGGTTCAGACGGGAGCCGACAGGTGGTGCGTTTTGATAGAAGGCGGGCTTTTCCCCGAGTGTTTGTATTTTTATTTAACTCTCTAGAGTTATGTTATCGTACAAGGTCACAAGCCGATACCTGTAGGTATGTGATGCCTTGCAAGAATCGCTAATATATATATGTATATATTGGCAGCGCGCGCGTGGCCTAACGATTATCGCGCTTGCTTTCCACGCTGGAAGCCAGGGTTCGATTTCTGGCCGCGGAGGCACATTTTTTGTTGACCCTGTAAAGTAATGTTCTGTCAAATTCGAGAACCATGTTGCTTGTTCGAGGTCGGAATGTTCTACACGCCGAATCTTCTACGCCGATTATTCCAGAAGCCCACACGTGTACATAAGGGGCTCCGCGTGGCGATCTGCAGTCAGTCTCGCCCCTGCGCTCGATCCTGCGGTTTCGCCGACATCGACGCCCGCGACGCTCTGCTGTTTTTTTTTTGTGCCCTTTTATTTTTGGCACAAGTTCGCCACATTAAACGTTTATTTCTTTCTGTTTATTTATTGTTTATTTGGTCACCACCCGTGACAATATATATACACTCATGCATATAGACGGAGCGGAAAAAGGAATATAGGCGGAGGAGGGTGTGCGACCGCAATCGACAGGTTAGTCTACAACCGAAGGACAGCGGGTGACGTCAAAATCGTTCAGGTGTGTGTAGCGTCTTCTACAAATAAGAAAACCAGCACGAATGGTGTGTTGATTGATCTTGTTTGCAAAAAAAAAAATGAAAAAGAAGGAAGGCTAGTTTTATGGCTTGATTGTCGTGCACTCGATCTTCAACCTTTCACTTTCTTCGGTACACTTCTACTACTACTACTGCAGGACGAAACCCATCTTGCTTAAAACACACGGCGTCTTTTAGTTCACTTTATTCATTTTTTTTGTTTAAAAATACCGTAAATACTATTACGAGGCATTTTAACACATACACAAAGAAAAGACATACATGCATCTTACGTATAACATCATAGTATATGCTTATGTGTAGAACTAATTAGACAGGGAAAGTAAAACATGATAAATATAACACTAATTACATAAAAAATGAGGATAATGAAGTTGGCTTAACCAAGACACCCTATACTATTAATCGTGATGTAAGAGAGTACCTAGCTGATTTAGGAATGAAGTGATGGTGGTGCTATTAGTAATAGCATGATCGAGTTGGGTCCATTCTCTGATGGCTAATGAAAAAAAATGTCTTGAACTTTGCATGATTATGAGATTGACGGCGCACGACTGAAGAAAGTTGGCAGTTACAAATATTTGGGAGCGATTTTATCGAGTGATCTAGATTGGAAAACGCACGTGGAGTATGTGAAGAAGCGTGCAACAAAGGCATTGTGGTACCCGAGAAGCACGCTTAGCAAATCTCCTCCTTTTGTGAAAATTCTTTCGTATAAATGAATAAGTAGACCTGTCTTAGAATACGCGTCGGTAGTGGGGAGCCCATGAATACGCGTCTGTAGTGGGGAGCTCTCTGGTCAAAGAACTCGAAGATATCCAATCACTAGCGGTGCGTGTAAGTTTTTCAGATTTCAGACGGACCACGTCTGTCAAGCTTCTTAAAACAAGAGCCAATATTAATCCTCTGGCAAACAAAAGAGCGTGCCACCGGGTCAAATTGTTTCTTCAGATTTAAAAAAAAAAGAAAAAAAAGAGCATTATACAAATTGAAAGTTTGAAATATTTAAAACCAAGAGGCTTCCTTTCTGAACGTTTGCGTCACTCAAAGACCGCAGCTTCCATTAATGCCCGAATAAATAGTTACAATCTTTGTGCACACAATTGATCTATGGAACAGTCTTCCCGTTTATGCTGTTGACATTGATTCATTCTCTTCTTTTGAGAAGCTGTCGAGATCATTTTTCATTGCTAAGAATGTTTTTGATTACTGTTTAAATATGAAGTTCAATGAACACAGATCTGTGATTATTTTATCTCTATCTTACTGTGTCAAATGTAAAAAAGGGGGTGGCGTAAGGTTTCGTGCATTGATTGTATAGGAAGATAATGTTGTAGTTTTGTATATTTTGTTTGTATGCTCTTCAGATGACAGTGTGCCAATTGACAATGTATCACCCATTCCTGCCTTGGTTCTAAACTGGGCTGTCAGTATTGATTAATTAAAAGGTCATTCTATTTCGCCCACGCTGTATATACATGCCTATCGAGAATAAACAGGCCAGAAAATATTTGCAAAACGTCTATCAGATAATTTGTGAGTGCATTTAGTTATGAATCTAAAGGTGATCGGCCCGTTTTATGCTAAATATTCATTCAGTAATGAGATATATGTCTTCCAATCATCAATAAATATGCTTGTATCAAGCTCACATAACCGCTTGAGAAAGATGCGGCAGGTCGATATGTGAATATAAGCCAGGCTGCGGGTCGCTTTGCGGAAACGTGCTTTTTTTTTGTTTCTGGAACACCGTGTCGCAGGGTATGAAAAAAGGATATGGTTCTTACATGATAGATCTAAAGGCAAGTACACGAAATGTGCAGAAAAAGGGGCAATAAATGGTTCTTTAAAAGAATCGGATACAGTATGCCTTACTGCAAAAACAAATACATAGAGATGCAATGATATTCCTAATTACACATCAATAGGGGGAAGGACAAACAAATATTTTAATAATCCTAATATAAATAACATTTGAGAATCAGCTTGCATGAACTCGACACTTAGCAAAATTCTGCATCGGGATGCTAATGTTATATAGACTACTTCCATAAAGCCCTGCATGCAACACGGTTAGCGTTGTACTCTGGGAACTAGTTGGCCAGGGAGGAGGGTGGCATGGTTTCGGTTTCGATCGACACGTCGACAAGAGATGGTTTTCTGGTCTCGAGAGCATCATTTGTGGTCTCTAAACTAACCTAAATGGCCAGGCCTCGAAGCTTTAGCACAAGCCTGAGACGTATAGCTTGTCTTAACAGATGCTTGTTGTATTTTTGTACTTGAGCCTTCCAGTTAGCGTTCCAATCGAGGTATGTGGGCGAGCCAGTGCTGGGAATCCCGACGCTGCGAAGCTCGGGGATCTTGCTTGTGTACGAATCAACAAGCTGTAGCAACCAATAAGTATGGATACATCGAGCTCGCGCCTTTACATTAGTGTTGTTGATCAGGAAGTTTGTTTGTTTCGTGCGTCCATAGACGAAATATTACTTTTTGCAGTTACTGTATTTCTTAATATGCCTGAGTATGCGAGGTAAAACTCGGAGGCGCCATTGAAAAGCTCAATTTTGACACACTTCTTATCTCTTATCTGTACTGACCCGCAGCACTGCACGAAGTGAAGTCCCCACCCGCTTGCATTCCATTAAACCGCGTATGCACATAAAGTTATCCTGCCAATCATATAGGCAAATTCGCACATACAAACCGTTTTGAAAAAGCAAATTCGAGCACTTGTGTGAAGAATATCGCACCGTTCCCCGGAAGTGCGCCGGACGGGCATGAACCCCCATGCGCACCGCATAGGGGTTCATGCCCGTCCGGCGCGCGGTGCTACATTCTTCACACAAGTGCTCGAACGAATTCAAAGCGCGTTTGACGGTGGCTAACGGCCATAATATTTGTTTTCTGTTTGTTTTTTTCCTGCCTGAGTATGCCGAGATAATTTCAGACTCACCGTTCAGGCGCAGATCTTGGGCGTCAGTAAAAGCTCGTCCAAAAAGGTTTAGCGAGGAGTAGGGGACGCTTGTTAGGGCCTCCGTCGTAGCCAGCCGATCTCAGCGTTTGCGAGAAGTTAATCTTCTACCAGCATAAAATTCGAGTGGGAGATATATGATGACACGAGGAAGACATCATAGTAACTTTTGTGCAGTAGTGAGGTCGAATTTATTGCGTTTCCTTAAAAGTTCATGCGTAAACGCTGGGCTCAACTTTGATACCCTGTAAGGATGCGGCTTTCTTTTCGCCCAATGAAGTAACAAGAAACGGACGTTTGGCAAACATAATACGTATAAGGCTCCAGATGAACAAATTTCAGTTCTAGTTCAGTGGTACTAGACGGGATTATTGAAATGGAGCTCAAACATGCACTCGTAGGGTGAGGTGACTAAGCCACGTCTTACTACGTTCGCATACGCACGCACAATATCCGGTGTTTCGGGAGCCAAGGAAAGTGCCCCGGTCTTAGTTTTGTATCGCTCGAGAATGAGTGCATTGTACGTTCGTGAAAAGTCAGATAATCGAAAACGCAAGCAGCGCGTTCGGTCGCGGCGTGATAGCATGAGGTGAAGCTGCTCAGTCGAAACCGAAACTGAGTGGCCAACTAGTTCCCAGAGTGCACTGCGTGGTATTTCGCCGCGATGGGGCGCGTCGGTTTTGGAAGTAGTCCATTCGGTGTTACGTGCACTTTTTTTTTTTGGCCCTCACTTTACAACTCTGTGCTTTGTCAGTGATGCGCTCTATCGTTTTATTAGGCTCCCGCATATCATCGCGAGACTGCTAAATGTACTGCACTCCTTTATTACTTGGACATCCAGTTTTGCTAGTTTTGAGAACATCGCATTTCACCAGAAAATTGAACTGTTTAACACGGTTTGAGCGTGTCGTTATCTCGATAAATGCTGGAGGTCATTCGGATATGTTATTGCCGAGAAAATGAAATACAGTGGTGTAAAATGCACGCTGCTGAAGGTTCGCGCTCAGTGCAACCCATGCATCTGAGACATAAATTAGTTTTGCTTTGTGCAGATTCGTGAGAAACTGCACGAGCGTCTGGCACCACAAAAACACGCTGTCTGCCAAGTGTGTTTTTGAAAACAAAGAAGTTTCCGGGGCCAGGCTTTCCGGTCTGTGCCGAAGATGCGGAAGAGAAGACACTTTACAACACAGTATCTTTTTACAACACCCCGCTCCCTCCCCCCCCCCCCCCCCCCCCCCCCCCACACACACACACACACACTTCTTTTAATTTTTTTGCTACTCCTCCGGAGAATACTTTTTATTCCTGAAAAACCACCTCATCTATTCGGGGGTGTTAGTTCGATATTTGAATTTCCCGTGTTAACAGTAGTCCTATATTGCTTTTATTTTGCGCCCGAAAACTGTGAAGCTTAAACAAAAAACCGAGGTGGTAAAAGCATGAGGAAGAACTCGAAAACGGCATTCCTGTGAGACTTAGAACGGCTGCCAACGTGTTCATAGCCCTTATAATGGTCTTGAAGATCGAAACTGCGGCGCAATCTAGTGAAAAGATACGCAAATAGTTGACGAGAAAAGAGAAGTTTTTCGCGGAAATACGCGGCGACCGACAGCGGAAGAACGGCGAAAAATAGGGATATGTTTAGCGAGACTTGTTGGGTTCATGATACTGAGTGAACTTGCATGCGCAAACGTAGAAGACGAACACGAAGAATTGGACAAGGACAAGCTCTTGTCCTTGTCCACTCCTTCGTGTTCATCTTCTTTGTTTGCGCTTACAAGTTTACTCAATAACATTGATATGTGTTCTTCTCTTACCAATAATAATTTACGATAGGTAACCGTTCTACTTGAGGTTATCGCATACGCCGATAATATTGAAATTTTAGAGTATCCACAGAGGTTACGCAAGGAGACCATCTTGGGACTTTTGCCTGTTGTTGCCCAATGTGAACAAAGCTATAACTTGCAAGGTTACCTTGCGATTTTGTTTTTATTTCAGTTCTGTTCTTTTATTTGATCTTGTTAAGTGTTAATATCTTAAAAATTAATGTTTGAGGAAATCTTTGATATTTCTCGTCAATAACGGGTTAACAGAGGAACCGTCTCACCTTTTTGTTGAGCTTGATGTTTGTGAAGATTGCGTGAACGCGCCACGTTTTGCTGAACATGGCGCCGAACGCGAGCGTGAAGCCAGACATCAGGACCCAGGCTCTCGCCTGCGGAAAGGAAGGGCACCGTCAGAGAGGAATTTCCAGAGTTCTTCTACCGACCGACATCCAAAGAAACGCGGAGTCACGGCGACATAACATGTGATTGATTCATCGATGGAAGTACAAAAAATGTTTTACGAACATATGAAATCATAGTTTGTGTCTTCATGATCACGTAGGACGTTGGTATTCTAACTGTGAATCAAACTTTAATGTGAGTAGCGTCGCTTTGCCTCATACTAATATCGATACTCAAGTTTTATGCACGACACAGGGCAGCTACACCATCGGCACACTATTAGCAGTGGTTAACGTCTAATGCTAAGTATCGCAGCCTAGATTGACGGGCTACATCACCAACGTACCGAAGTAGAAAAGAAGAGGTAATTTGTTTTCTGGTGACTGTCGTGCTCAGCTGTACTGAACAGTGGGCATTCGCAAGCGGCAGGAATGCAGACTCGTCAAACCCTCTTGTATTTCCTCGTGCAGGTGCTATCATCGTGCGTATCTTGCTCGCTGCTGCCGTCCAATGGCACGTCGTCAGCTCCGCAGAGTCATCCGACCCTCCTTGGCTCGTCACCGCAACATTGCTGCCCGGCTTCGTCGTTTCAAGACATCGATTTTCATCGGTGCTCTTTCCCGGCTACTTTGGCTTCATCGTCAGTGACATCAACACTCCTGCACCCTATAAAGCACGGACCGTCTTCCTGGGACTTCAGTGGACATTCGCAAGCGGCAGGAATGCAGACTCGTCAAACCCTCTTGTATTTCCTCGTGCAGGTGCTATCATCGTGCGTATATTGCTCGCTGCTGCCGTCCAATGGCACGTCGTCAGCTCCGCAGAGTCATCCGACCCTCCTTGGCTCGTCACCGCAACATTGCTGCCCGGCTTCGTCGTTTCAAGACATCGATTTTCATCGGTGCTCTTTCCCGGCTACTTTGGCTTCATCGTCAGTGACATCAACACTCCTGCACCCTATAAAGCACGGACCGTCTTCCTGGGACTTCAGTGGGCATTCGCAAGCGGCAGGAATGCAGACTCGTCAAACCCTCTTGTATTTCCTCGTGCAGGTGCTATCATCGTGCGTATCTTGCTCGCTGCTGCCGTCCAATGGCACGTCGTCAGCTCCGCAGAGTCATCCGACCCTCCTTGGCTCGTCACCGCAACATTGCTGCCCGGCTTCGTCGTTTCAAGACATCGATTTTCATCGGTGCTCTTTCCCGGCTACTTTGGCTTCATCGTCAGTGACATCAACACTCCTGCACCCTATAAAGCACGGACCGTCTTCCTGGGACTTCAGTGGGCATTCGCAAGCGGCAGGAATGCAGACTCGTCAAACCCTCTTGTATTTCCTCGTGCAGGTTAGTCCCATCCCTTCGTTGCATTGTAAGCGCACAAACAATGTTAACCTGCTGCTTTTGCCATGCCCACATGTTCTTCTTGTTACTATTTGTGATTGCCTTTATGTTGTGAAACTGTTGCTTTTGGGGGGTGATATCGAACAGAATCCAGGCCCACCTAAGGAGGACCCCAGCAAAAGCTCTAACGATTTAGTGTCGATGCTGAGGGCACTACATTGCAAAATGGACAAAAACCACGCTGAGGTCTTGTCTCAAATAAATGAAGTGAAAGAAATTCAGCTGAATCTTGAGAGACAAATGACCAGCATAAACGATCGGCTTACTGTCGTAGAAGAAAAAATTGCTGCCTCGGACAACTCCGCGGACCTTTATGTGGCTAGTGCGGTGTCTGACGCCGTTCGGAACGAAACTGTCGCTCTAAGTCGTCGTTTAGATGACTATGAAGACAGATCTCGGCGTGAAAACTTAATTTTCCACGGCTTTCCTGACAAACAATCAGAATCGTGGGCTGAGTCAGAAAAACAAATAATTGAAGTGGTTTCGTCTGCTTTGAACTTGCAACTATCTGATCAAGCGATCTCTCGCGCTCATAGGTTGGGCAAGTTCTTTCCCAATAAATGCCGTCCGGTAATTGCAAAGTTTTCAAATTCAAAGGAAAGGGATTCTATTCTGGCAGCCAGGGCAAAGTTGAAGTCGTTTGGTTTTAGTGTTGGTGAGGACTTCTGCATTTCCACTCGAACCTCGCGCAAGAAACTGCTCGAATATGGGAAAGCTAGTAATCAGCAGCTTTCAATTCGCTACAATAAGTTGTACATTAACAGAAAATGCTTCATCTATTGTCCCTCATCAGACAGTGTCTGTGAGTTATACGCCAACAAGGAATCACCTGCTCACGCAAGTCAAAATTCGAGCAATGTCGTAGACAATGAAGTACCATTATCGTAACTATCACGTAACACCGTAATTCCCGTTAGTAAAATTCCTTTTCTTTTTTCAAATATCCGCAGTGTCGTTAACAAACGAGAGGAACTGTCAGCATTAATCGACACGTGTAGCGCCGATGTAATAATACTAACTGAAACGTGGTTGTCTGCCAAAATTGATAACAAAGAAGTTTTTGAGTGTGAGAAGACCTTTAATATTTATCGGTCTGATCGCGTCAATAGATTGGGAGGAGGTGTATTAATAGCCGTCGCAGAAAATCTGCACTCTTATCATATCTCTCATTCATCATGCTTGGAAATGGTATGCGTGTGTGTACGCATTAATCACCGTGACATGATCTTTTGTGCCTGTTATCGGCCACCAAACGCTTCCTTGACTTTCTGTGCACAACTTCATGACGTTTTAAACAGCCTTGTTGTCAGATTTCCGCACTCGCCAGTTTTTTTATTAGGTGATTTTAACTTTCCGAAAATATTATGGTCTGGTATGTGCCCTGTTCCGTCTGACCTTTCCGGTGAAACATCTGAGTTCATAAATTTGTGCACAGATTTTAATTTCTCTCAGTTAATAACTCAACCTACCAGGGTCACCGCGTCAAGTTCGAACATATTGGATCTCGTTCTCACAACTACTCCTGACCTCGTTCATTCTCTAAGTTTTTTACCAGGCCTGAGTGACCACTGCTTTGTTCACTTCACACTTGAAGGCAATTCTCATCGCCTTAAGAGTATGCCTAAACGTATACGCGATTACAGCAAAGCTAACTACCCTGCCATCAATGATGAATTGGCGCAATTTCTGGACGAATATATGCAGAATTTTTCTAATCGCACTATAGAATCCAATTGGTCTATTTTTAAAGTCAAAGTTAATTATCTTGTAAACAAATACGTACCCCTACGAATTATACCGTACAAGAACAGGTACCCTTGGTTTACTGTTTCTTTAAAGCACCTGCGAAATAAAAAGAAACGACTGTTCCGCAAAGCAAAGCAGTTCAATAAACCGGACTTGTTGTGTGCGTATCAGAATGTTGCAACCCTCTTTAAGAATGAAGTGGTAAAAGCCAAAAACATATTTTTTAATGATACCCTACCATACTTATTGACAAATGACACTAAGAAATTTTGGAATATAATTGGTGGACAAAAAGAGAGTGTGATATCGCTAATCAACGATAATGGAGTCTCACTTCCAAGGTCGGAATGTTCATATTTACTAAATGATGTGTTTTCTCAGTCTTTTATGCCACAGTCTTTTGTTTCTTGCCCTGAATATAATCTTGCAGCCTTTCCACTTATGGATCCTGTTATAATTGATTGCATTGGTGTGCTTAGCATAATAAAAAATTTAAAAGTTTCTTCTTCATCTGGAACTGACGGGATTAATTCTAAATTTCTGAAGAACACTGAAATGCTCTCTTCTGTAATACTGTCTAAACTTTTCTCGCAGTCCCTAGATCTTTGTTTGTTGCCCAGCGATTGGAAGGTGGGTAAGGTGGTACCTTTGTTTAAATCAGGTGATGCTCACTCTCCTCTTAATTACAGGCCTATATCTTTAACTAGTGTCCCATGTAAAATGTTGGAGCATATCATCTATTCTAACCTAGTTAACTTTCTTGAATCCAACTCATTTTTCACATATCGTCAGCATGGTTTTCGTAAATCATTCTCATGTGAAACACAACTGGTTTGTTTCACGAACGATGTTCTCTCTGCGCTAGACAATAACCTTTCAATCGACTGCATATTTCTTGATTTTTCGAAAGCCTTTGATTTAGTCCCTCACCAACTGCTCTGCTTAAAATTAAAAAAAAAACTAAACATTGACTCTAACATTCTTGCATGGATCGAAAATTTTCTCTCTAACAGAACACAGTTTGTAACTGCAAACGACTCAGACTCTCTTCCCTGCCCTGTTACTTCGGGTGTGCCGCAAGGTTCCGTCCTCGGCCCCCTTCTTTTCCTCATATACATAAATGACCTCGTTAACAATGTCCAGTCATCCATAAGGTTGTTTGCAGATGATTGTGTCATTTATCGTGTAATCTATTCTGATACTGATACGTCTTTTCTTCAGACTGACCTAAATTTCATTACTAACTGGTGTGACGTCTGGAAAATGCGCCTTAATGCCAGTAAATGTAAAGTAATGAGAATTTCACGGAAAGCTGCCTGTACTAACTTTCCTCAATACAACATTGGTTCTGTTCTTGAGCAGGTGACATCGTACAAGTACCTAGGTGTCCATATAACATCTGACCTCTCCTGGCAAACTCACATTAATTTTATTGCTAACAACGCTAATCGCATGCTAGGTTACTTACGCCGCAACTTCTCAAGGGCTCCTTCATCATTAAAACTACTACTGTACAAGACCCTCGTTAGATCCAAGCTTGAGTATGCGAGTTCGGTGTGGGACCCAGGCCATGAATTTCTAATTAATCAAATTGAATCCGTACAAAATCGTGGCGCACGTTTTATATTGTCTAATTTCTCGCGTTTTTCCAGTGTATCATCCATGAAACTAACTTTACATCTTCCGAATCTTTCATTGCGTAGAAAATTATCTCGTTTGTCCTTATTTCACAAAATCTATCATCACAACCAGCATCTAAGTGAAGAGCTTTTTTCTGAACCATCGTATGTATCCCATCGAAATGATCATCACCATAAAGTCAACGTTCCTTTCAGTCGCAC